ACAATTCGAAAAAATTATTTGAAAAAGAAATGGATCTCGACGATAAACTTTCGGAACTAGAAATGAGAGAGATATGAGGGATAACTTACTATTCTATGGCATAGCAGAATGTTGAAAAGGGCAAAAACGAGGACAGTGAAACCCTGGTGAAATCTATTATTTCGGACATTCTGGATATTTCGGACAATGTGACAATCGATCGTGCACACCGGATTGGGCCGCAGCACAACAAAAAGTAAGACCCATTGTAGTGAAGTTTCACTACCCTAAGGAACGCGAGCTCGTTCGAAAGTCTGCCTTCAACAAGAACGCCGCTTAAAAGCCTTGGGATATGACGTAGGAGCACAGCTGCCAAAACGAATTAGAGAGGCAAGGAAACCTTTTATACCCAGCTATGAACGACGCCAAAAAAGCCAACAAAGCAGTGAAATTTGTTGGTTCCAAACTCTTCATCGACGGTGAGGAATTCAAGCTACCAACAACAAGTAGGAAGTCATGAAAGGGAATCACTTAAGGTTGCATTTTGGAAATATTAAATGGACTTAAAAGGAATATTACAGACAGTGACTTTATAGAATTTATCGATTCATTTGATTTGTTTTTCTTAAATGAAACTTGGATTTTCTAAGAAAAGAAACATTAAATTTAGATATTACTGGTATAAGGCATATCATATATATGGAACTAAGGTGAAACAAAAACTCTAGAGACGTTTTAGTGGTGGAATATCTGTGTATTTTAAGACTAAATAGCAAAATATGTTTTCAATAGTTGAAAGTATTGATAACGGAATTATTATGGATAAGAATATTTCAGGTCAGTTGTTTAATTTTAAAAACAGATGTTTATATTTGCCATGTTTACATACCCCCGTCAGATTCCAAAAATATTAAAAACTAATTGATTTTGATTTTTATGACGAGGTAGAAAAGGGTATTTTAAAGTACGAATTGTTAGGTAAAGTCTTCATTTCTTGGAGACTTAATGCTCGTTCCAGCGATAGCTGTGATTTTTTGACTTTTGATAAATATTTAGATAGTGATCAGCCATTTATTGACACTACATCTATCCCGCTTAGAGTAAGCCAAGACCACGTGCTAGATCATAGTGGGCGGAGTTTGCTAGCAATGTGCATTAGCGACAAATTATTTGATAGCCAATGGTAGGCTTGACAGTGATTTAGGTATCGCGGGCTGTTACTTTTACCTCCCGACTAGGTGCAAGTTTAGTTGACTACCTTTTATTGAAAATACCAAGATTTTGATAATGTTTTTAATTTTACGGTTCATGATTTTAATGAATTTTCGGATCATGCTTTGTATATCTTTCGAATTCAGAATTGTTCACACAAATATTGACAAAAAAATAAGGAAATTAATTCTGAATAATGAAATTAATCGAATTGTCTGGGATACAGGTAAAATACCGCTGTTCCGTGATAATCTCATGAATAATCATGATATACTTAGCCGCCTAAACGAATGAAGTGTGCACTCAACCGATTGACTGTACTGTAAACGAATTTTGTAGTTTCATGAAAACGCAAACATACGATGTGTTCGGGAAAACACAACGAGTTACTGTAAACAAAAATAAACGTGACTTCTCAAATAAAAAATGGTTTGATGACAGCTGTTTTACAGCCAAACGAACGTTTAGTGCATGCCGAAACATTTATAACAGAAATAAAAATAACGATAACCGTTGCGCCTATGTTAGCGCGAGAACTAGTTATAATAAAGCAAAAAGAAAGCGCGTCGTAATTATAGAATACAAGAAGGTCGTAGAATTAGTAGCTTGGCGTCCCTCTCAACCGCGTGACTTTTGGAAATCTATTAAGAAGTCATATAAAAAGAAAAACCCCAACCGCAAGTTCTCTGACAATTGATGAGCTACAAAGACATTTCCAAGAAATGTTCGGCGGCGGTTTTAACAAACGATAACGACCAACAAATCCCCGAAAAATTCGAATTCTAATAATATTTCGTTGGATTTAGAAATATCTCATGCAGAAATCCGTGACGCTGTTTTCATGCAAAATAGTAACAAAGCTCCGGGATTAGATAACCTCCCCGCTGAAATTTTTAAATCGACATTTGACATAATCTCTCCCTTTCTCAATAAATTATACAATAAGATTTTTAATGACCATGAATATCCCACCGCATGGGGACAAGGAATTATAACCCCTATATTTAAAAAGGGGTGATATATAAACGTTGCTAAGAACTATCGCGGGGATAACACTGATTAATATAATAGCGAAAAATATAACTCGCAAATATTACTGAATCGTTTGAGTAAATGGTCGAAAGAACATGATAAATTGTCAAACAACCAATTTGGTTTTCAAAAAGGGAAATCTATCACTGACTGTATCTTTATATTAAACGCCGTCATATCTAAGATACTAAACTCCAAGCAAAAAACTCTACTGTATTTTCATCGATTACGAGCAGTGTTTCGATAACAACGACAGGCAATTTTTTGTGGCAAAAGTTGATAAATGAAAATATAAGTAGTAAATTTGTTATGGCGTTAAGATCCATGTTTACTGCGGTGAAGTCATGCGTGCGTTATAATTCAGAAGTCTCTGACTTTCTATCTTCTGACATTGGATTAAAACAAGGAGACCCAGTTCGCCTCTTAATGTTTATGTTCTTCGTAAACGACATCACAAAAAACATTAATAGTAATTTAGATGATGTCATAACAATTGATGACGTCAAACTATTTTTGATATTATACGCGGATGACATGGCTTTATTTGCTACATCACAAAAAATCTCTTCAGTCTATGCTTAACGATGTCGAGAATTACTGCTGCACATGGGTATGAAAATAAATGTTAACAAAACGAAGGCCATGATTTTTGAAAATGGCAGAAGTACTTTCGCAGATTTCTATATATACGGTCAAAAAATTGAAACTGGTGAACTCCTTTAAATATCTCGGTGTCAATTTTTTTTCAAAAATGGTAACTGGGCACGCACACAGAAACAAATTGCCGACCATGCCTCGTTTTTCACTGCATAACTTGTTTTCTATTTTTCGACAAATTGAATTGCCTAACCTCAAAAAAGATTCATTTATTTGATGTGTTAGTTGGATCCGTGCTGAATTTTTTGCTCAAAAATATGGGGTACACATAGAGCCACTGATATTTGAAATGATACACTTAAAATTTTGAGGTATATCCTAGGGGTACGTAAATCAACAAACTTATCAGCTTTGTATGGGGAGCTTGGTAGAGTCCCTTTAAATATTTATCGAAAAATAACTATTTTGAAATATTGGAGAAAACTTATTTCGCATGACAACTTATCGCTAACGTTTAAAACATACAGTGTCTTAAAATTTGACGCGGATAACAATGTCACGTATAGAAACAAAAATTGGGCTTCACATGTAAAAACTATACTCGAAAGAGCATGGTTTCGGTTACGTATGGCTATTAACCAAGTTCTGGATAATGTTACCTTTGAATATGGTAAAAACGTAGAATCCTGGATAATTATAAGCAGTCATGGTATGCAGAAATAAATAATTCTCCGCGATTACAAAGCTATAGTTATTTAAATACACTTTTGAACGCGAGACATATATTGATTGTATACAAGATAGAAAATATATGACAACTTTATCAAAATTTCGGGTATCTGCACATAAGCTATTTATAGAATCCGGACGATATACGAATATTCCGCGAGAGCAACGGTTATGTAAGTCCTGTAACATAAGAGAGTTGAAACAGAGTTTCACTTCTTGATGTGTGTCCTAGATATAGGGAGCTTAGAAAAAAGTTTTTAAAGGGATATTTCTGTAGGTGGCCGACAATTAATAAATTTGAATCTTTATTAAATTCTAAATCGAAAATAGAGCTAAACAACCTTTCGAAGTTTTTATATTTTGCAAATAATGAGAGAATATCTTGATGATGTAGTATCAATTAATATCATATTAACATCTTGGTGTAGTGTCAATATCATATTTAAGACATTTTGTGCAACCTGCTATTTCCTAAGTATTTTAAGACCTTTCAGGAAATAGTGTTTATATTATATTTTCATTCCATGTCAGATCTCATTTTCATGAATGTATATATATGTTTTGTTTTGCTATAAACATTGTAATAATGTTTTATTTGCAATAAAGTTATTTGTATTGTATTTGTATAATTATATCTTTACAATAAACAATTAAATAAATAATTTCAAAGATGTTGAAACAAGTAATATCACGCAACCACATTTAATAACGGAATGTATAAGCATGATTGTATGTGCATTTATTGATATTTCAGCTCAACCACTTGACCCGAAGGAAGACAATAATACCTTCATTCAATAAAGAATGCTCTTTAATTACGAATGACAAAATTAAATAAAAGGCGAGGAAATAGCATTAACTAAACTGTGTAAATTTCGTTATAATTATCGGATAAATATACCCCATCCACTTTGACAAAATATATATATATACAGATATTTTTTATTATGTTTTTGTTAAACACATAATGTTAATTGAATGTCAAATACAAAATAAGAAATAAAGTGATTTGTTTTAATATTGTACAAAGAGTTTAAAACCAACTTAGAGAAATATGTAAAAAATTGGATATTTTACTTGTTATTCTTAAAGATAATTGTTTGAAAAACAACCTAAAAACTTTTCCTTCATTGTGATAAACATGTACTTTTATTATTTTCTGATATGTTTAAACATTTTTTTCTCGAAATGAGCATAATTTGTGCTACAAATTATATTATAAAAATGATATAATATTTTTGCATAATATTGGACGCCATCTTAGATTCTGAAGAGGTATGAATGCGGAATTTTGTGAGATTTTTCGCCCCGTGAAGCGGAAGTGCGGACAAATTTTTAATTTGTCGTATTTTCGTTTTTCCGCCATGTGCTCTGCGCTGATATGGAACAAATAAGTCACCATGTTACAACTCTTGTGATTTGCGAGTTGTGATTTGCTTATCACCCTTGTTATCCAATGATCAATTATTCAAACAATGCAAGGTAAAAATACAAAATTTTTGTTCAACAAAAGTTTAGAGCCAAAACAAACAAATGTGTTCAGGGACAAACATGTCAAACGCAATGCAATTTAATCTAAAGAGAGTAGTTCAAATTTCTTAAAACAATTCTCACAAACATTCTAGATATGTAAATTAAAATATTTTTTTCTCAGATTAAGATATTGACAACATGTGGCAAATAAACATTAACAAGGTTTCGAGGCTCAGTAGGATACATACTCAAATTATGCATACACATTATATGTAAAGGGAGAGTACCTTTAGTACTTATTACCACACAACATTTGTATATAATAAATTTACACATATAACATGCGTTTGATTTTCATTATATATATTTTTCAACAATATCCTCAATAAACCGACATATTATCTCATATTCAAAAGTGCTATGGTGTTTTATATTCATATTTTTATTCTAAAAGAAATAAATGTTTCTTCTGATCGTAGGTATTGTATTCCTTTTTTGATAATCAAACTATTTACATTCTAGAAAGTAGAAAAAATGGTCCCAAACTGAGGAGTAACATAACGTACATTTTCTCATGTCAAGTTCTTACCCATGCAAAGGTCCTGTAATCCAAGGTTTGAATATCAACTCGGTTTGAATTCTTAACTGCTTCTTAGTAAGAAATCTCAAATTCATCATATCATTTGGCCACTCAATTCAACACAGAAAAAACAACTGATTTACAAATGATGATATACATAGAAATATGAATATATAAATAAATCTTTTACCAGTGCTTTGTATTCATGTGGCATTACAAATAACAAGTGTGAACCAAAATAAAATCATCTACGTCCAAACTTTACACTATCTATAAGCGGTATTTATTTTTTCTTTGCATTTATCATTTTTATCCACATTACAATAAAAGAGATACAGTCATACATTGAAAACGACAGTCAACCAGAACAACCAGCTCATTGCGACTCAAAGCACACAAGATAAATGTGCATATGCCAGCCCTGGTGTATTGACATTTGAAATACTCCACCGATGAATCAATTGAAAGTTCTGATTTTGCAAAGCGTTGACAGTTGAAATCAATATTTGAAATATTCCTTCGATGGGTCATTGGAAAAATGCGAAAATGCAAACGTTCGGCTGATCGATATTTGAAATACTCCATCGATGAATCAGTTGTTGTTTGTCATAGAAAACTTCATTGACATGTCTTGTGTTTTCTTTAATAAAAAATAATAAGAACAGTATTCATTTAATATTTGACTATAATTTAAATAACATAAATATTTCAGGCTTCTTAAATCTGCGACTTATTAACAATGACAATGTCACTGCCTACCATTATGTCAGTTTTGTTTTATCTTTTTTTCGTAGTTTTTCCTTATTAAAAAAACTGTTTCATTCAATTTTGAGTTTTAAAATCAAATCAATTGTGTCGTTTGTATCGAAAAAAAAGTTTTAATTCTACTTAACCCTAACCACTAAAGCTACGAATATAATAATGATGAAATAATTACATTTTTCTTTACTTCAGAAAGATCGTACATCTGCGACTTCAGCCACTTGGATTTCTGTTTTGAAAATGTATCTTTTATCTGAAATTGAATTGATACTTCTGGTACATGGATTTTTCATTTTCATCATCAAATAACATATTCTCTTTAAGAATTAATATATCCCAAACTGTGATTTTATTGCTCAATAACATCACTGTTTGGAGTTCGGATGCGGGGAATTATATCACTAGGGCGTAGCCCGAGTTATTTAATGATGCGCATCCGAACGACAAACAGTCATGTTATTAAGCAATAAAATCACCGATTTGGATATATTATTTCGATTCTAACACGAAATCAACAAATAAATGCTGCCAAACATGATATTTAGCTAAATTGCGCCTGATTTGTGTCCGTACTTTTTGTCATCGCGTCACAGTTTTAGTGGTTACGTCACGTGTATAATGATTACGTCACATGTCAAAATATAGAACGTCAAACAGTGATTTTATAGCATAAAAACACACACTTAAGGTTCTTCTATGTTCAATAGGGAAAAATGCCGGTCGTGTTAATATTCACACTTTCTATGTTTGGTTTCGGACTTTTTTTAATATACATGCTTTTTTGATTTATCAAAGATAGAAATACGCGAGTTAGTTTTGAAATGAAACTGTTTTACAAGATAAGAACTCTGTGGAAGAACAGTGACATCAGGACACTTACTAGAGAAAAATCTAGAATCTTGCACAGAGGGTTAGGGAACAAAAACAAAGAGGTGAACATCATAACTTTCAAAGCTTAAATGACTTAAAATAGTTATTAAATGAAACGCCTGTTGTAAAACACAGGGAAAACCATTAATTTGTAGGACATTACGCGACACAATGTCTTTATTTTTAAGCCTTAGCTTTAAATAATTATATTTTTTGTATTACCCATCTGTTCAAAGAAAATTAATACTGTCTTAACGTTTCTCTTTTAGAATAAAAATATCTAAACAACAATAATAAACATTGTATATAAAATATGATAGTGAAATTCATTCATAATTACAATGCCGGCGAATATTTATGCAATTACCTTTTTGTTCATCAGGCAATGAAATATGAAGATCAGCAATCCCTGTTTATAATATAATTGTCCATATTTTAATAACTTCTATAATGATAAACAAACAAAAATACATATACAGCAATATATTTAAACCATTGATAATACTAAAACCGACATACTATAGAAAAAAATAAATACAAACATTCAAAATTATAACAAGATCAAAACAAGGACATATTTATGCAAGTCTTAAAAACGTACAAATATACTTGATAAGTACATATTTACTATAAACATATCCGCTAAAATATGTTTTAAAAAAAATAATATATATTAAATTCTTGTAACAAATCTTAATCTGGAACTTGTACTTGAAATGAGCGGATCTTGCTAGGTTAGTAAAATCCATCATTACTATACAAAAATACTCCGATACTGACCCTTTTATCTTCGCATATACAAACTACAAAGTTAAATCTATGTTTAGTTCTAAGGAAATGCATTCACTTCACATGAAGTTAGCCAAATCAGCATTCCTGTTTCGGCGCCATATGACCTTAACTGTGCTGGTGTGCCATAAAGCCAAACATACACACAAGTCATGCGCCATTACTTCAGCAATGTCATTCGGATAACACTCGTTTTATAATTCGACTTAATCGGGTTGTATATATGCATTTAATACATTGTGAAACAAGCAATTATCTAGAGATATAAAAATATAGGTATGTTAATATTTCGAAACGTACGTTTTTATTTCTGTGATTTTACCCTGAGCTTACTTGCAGCTGTGTCATATCAATATAAAGCCATGTCTCACTTATTAATTACTTTCAAGTCTGCTTATCAGTTTTCGGGTCAAACAAGTCTATTTGTATGGCTTTTACGCACAAACCTGGATTAAAGAATAAGTAGCCTTAATTAACGGGGCATCTCTTTCCCTCGATTCACCTGAATGTCAATTATGACATACCAGATAAAAACTATTCCACATAAAATTGACTTTTTTTACAAATGAATGGATACCTGAAAACTGTTTAAAACAGCAAATATATACTGGAAAATAACTGTGTCATTATTCATTGATAAGGCTCCAAACCCCCAGGTCAGTCCCATCAACGGCATAAGCACCAGTATACAACGCAATGCTGCTCTGAAATGACACAATATAAGATTATAATTATATTTATTTACTTCAATATTTATATGTATTTATTTTAATGTTAAAAAATTGTTTAAAATCTTAGTTTAACTTTGCCTCTAAATCTTTTCTCAGTGTTCGTCAATCAATTGTACATTTTATCATGTCTATCACTATAGGTAATGCTTATTGTCTTAAAAATGCACAAGAAATAAAATATGTTTTGTCAATAAAAATAAAATTTACAAAACCATTACTATTGATACTTTAAAAGAATATGATGTAAAGGTGTTGAAATCAAAGCATATAAATAAAAAAAAAGAACAAAATTATAGGAACAAAGAAGTTATCAAATATTTTTAATATTTCAGTAATGGCACTAAAAGTACGTAAAAGTCCTTGGAAAATACATAAATATAAATATAAAACATGGCAACATTGTCGTACATTGCCCGTCCTTTGTTTGATTTCTTTGCCATTGCTGCTGTGCCGCACATTGTCCGAAGTACTAAGACTACCATGATTAAATTTATCTGAAATGTATTTATACAGACAAGATCATGTTAATGGACCGATAAGCTGTGTAATATTTACCATCGGAAAACATATTTTTGCGACTAAAGCTCTCCAAAGACAACTAGATTATGCAGCGCTTTTTAAACTAAAGATGCCAGAAGATCCTTAAATTTGGCTTTCTCAAAAGAAGTACAAGTTAGTATACATATTATTTTACCTATCTTTACATCGTCCTTTCTACTGCATATTTATGATACTTCAAACAGTCACGTGTGACTAACAGTAGCTGGTTGCAACGGTATATATTAGCTTTATATTGATCTATATTAAAGTGGCGTTATGCCCTTCCAAATTAAATGTACATGTCAGAGTAAAATTAAGTAAGATTTTTTTTATCATAATTGTTTTCAATTTTATAGTCAAGTTCAATCATGATGTGTTCAATCAAAACCCACCTGATTCATTTACAAGCTTTAGAAAGGTGTACATATATCGAAAACATAAAAATCTTCAGCTTTTGTCGTCCAAGTATATAAATAGGGTTTATATTCTTTAACATGCCAGGAAAGTCCAACTGTAAAATTGTACCAAATAAATGAAAATCGAACTAACAGAAGTGCAGTACGAATCATTTTGATGATAAAACGTTATAGGATCCCCAATAGAAATCCACGGTACAAACGGATAAATCCAAAAGGTGCAACAATAAAGCACGGCAAAGCGTTTTTTATGGCTTAACAAGTTCAAAAGTAATACAGCATACATACCAGAACAACAACAAAAACCGGAACAAGAAAAGCCCATATCAATCCAGTCTCAGTTGATAACCAGCATCTGAAACAAATTTTCATGAAATTATATCATTTACATCGGTTAATTTATTTAACCCTATAAAAAACTATTATACAGTCCTGCACGGGTAACATTTTGCTAGATCTAACAGCTCAGATAAATATAATTTTATACTGTAATTGTTTTATATGATTTGTCTCTCAGATGCTACTACGACAAGTTTTGAATTTTATTTTTATCTATTTCTATGGATGTAATGTAAATAACAGAATTATTTCAGCACCATTAGCAGTATAATGTCGTGCCTCGAAGCACTCATTCATAAAAGGCGTCAATTTAAAGTTTCATTGGGGGGTTTGTTAACATTTTAAAAATTCATTCCGATAAGTAAGTTTTAATTGTTGTAAACTTGATAAAACATTCCTTAAGAAATATAGAAAATGTTGTTGTTGTTGTTTTATTATTACTATAATTATGATCATTATTGAGATAATTTTTATCATTGCTATTATTGTTTACTGTTCTTTGTTTTCGTATATTACCTTAGAGACAGGAGAGTGCAAAAAAAGGACAGCCAAAATTTGAAAAGAGTTATTGACTTCCTAATTTTTGTAATATCAGTCTGTTTTGTCGTTCGGCTATTAAACACTCAGTTTTGAAATATGATGCGTAGGAACTGACCACGAAGACAGTAACTTTTATGGCAGTATATTTAAAAATAACAAATTATGTCAACAAAATTATATATACTTACGCCTGTTCGGATCCATATCCGTGTAGCTGTGTAACACCCATAGATATCACGACGATTATAACGGCGACGACTTAAAATATATAAATAATATTGTTACATACTTAAACATACATGTATCAATCACATTTCTTCTAATGTTTTCTATGTTACAGTTATATAACTATTACATATTTCTTTATTCTACCATCGGCAATATAACAGTTCTTTGATTCATGTAATGAGTAAGTTTATGTACAAAAATGTTACTTTATACAAAATTTATTTCAATTTGGTTGTGTAGGAAGCTATAAACTTATGGACACATTCTCGAATTCTTTCATTGAACCAACAAAAACTGAACAATAAGTGTAATGTTTCTTGCTCAAGGACCGGCTTGCTACTAACGGAGTTTGATTCCACCTGGCTAGAGATGCTTAGATTTCTAAATGGAGTGTTAAGTGATATTGAGTCATGTGATGAATAAAGAATCTGACTTGTGATGTCATTTTATACCAATTTTTATGAAACTCACCCGGTAATAATAGCATAACACAGACACACGCCTGCTTAATAACATTGTCCTGGACCCGAATCATACAAAAAAATCATGTCAGATCCTATGTACAAAAAAATACAATACATCTCTTGTATTAAAAGCATCTTAGTAAAGTTAACGTTGCCAATGGCTGTCTATTGATTATCGCATGGAATCATCCGCCACGTGGCACGAATAATTTACAGTAGCTAATATTCATCAGTCATTTGCTATCATTGTGGCGAAATAAGCTGTGTTGTACCTTTACTATCCGGGTGAATATACTTAATTTCCTATCCCATCAGAAAAGAGCAGGGAATACAATCTGAGGAGCAATATTTGTCATCTTATTGTCTTATCCTGAGAAGGCCTTTTACAGGTACATCTTTGTCCCCGTAATATTCAATGGTAAGGCGATCGGACAATGTATATTTATACAAATCAAATAATAAATGAAGGTTGTACACAGCAAATAGATAATATTAGATTTCAGTTATTGTTTTATTTAAGGCGAAGAAAAAAGTTCAGAACATTTTCTTAAGTTTTGTACAAAATAAGAGAATCATGATTGAAAGAAATTGATGAAACAAAAACTAGTCACTCACATTTATAGTTTTCTGTCCCTAAAAGTGAGTTTCATGCTCTTCGGGGTCATTTCCAAAAATATACTCTTTTTTTTTAATTTTAAAAGGAACTAATAAAATTTTTAATTAGAGGACTTCTATAATAATCCAATTGTTGGACTAAAAATATTATTAGTGTAGGATCTCGTCAAACAATGCTTACCTTATGATTTAACTGATTTATTAAAAAAAGAAATATAATGCATATATAAACTTATGTACCATATGACGCTATCATTAGTGGTATGCCAGGTTTTCTAGAACTTAATGGTTTTAGAACAGTGAACGAGATGCTACATCCCTCTGTCAGCATTCCGAAGAAAACGACCAGAAACACAAAGTGAAGAAGTACCGCAAAAGCAGTGCAAATGTCCTAAAATTAGTAAAAGCGTTCAAAACTTAAATACAGCGTCAAGCTCAATATGATATGTTTCTAGCAGAAAATGCAACAAACAAACATTTTATAAGGAAACTGGAGTCCTTTTATTTAATTAATTAATACAACACGTACTTTTTACAATCTAAGATAATGATAATTGTTTATATACATGGATTGTGTGTCTTAGAACACTTTTCTTTTTTTTTTTTTGTAATTAACATTTTATTTCCCATATTGTACAAAACATGTAACAGAAATATTTTTTGGTCAATATAATGTATTGGCAATCAATAAACAGTCAAAACTGTGTCCAAACCACCTAACTAATTTTTCATTTTCATAACAAAAGCCACCCTTACTAACCCTACAGTGCTTAACAGATAGAGGTTTCTCTTGATAAAGACCTCTTCTTGTCTATAGAGGAAATGTTATATTTCTCCTCTGTAAGACCCTGGTCACAGGTTTGACTGTAATCATGCATCAAAGTACATAGTCAATACAAATTCAATAATCTCAATTAAAGCCAAATTAATCAGTACACATACAATGGTTTTAAATGGAGCCATATTAATCAGTACAAATATACTATTAATCAGTCCAAAAAGAAAACCCCAACAAAACAGTCTCGAAAGAAGCAATATTAATCAGTACCAATATAATGGTTTCCCACGAAATTATATTAAACAGTACCAGTACCACATTAACCAGTACAAATACAATACTTTCAATTGAAGCAACATTAATCAGTACACATATAATAATTTTAAATTAAGCAATATTAATCAGTGCAAATACAGTAGTTTTGGATGAAGCAATATTAATCAGTACAAATACAACTGTTTTGAATGAGACTATATTAAAAGAGAACACTTTTCTTAATTTTAATTTTATTGAAATATGTAGGGTCATCTGGATGCATGCAGCTTTAAAAGGACGGACAAGTTAACATTTAGGATCGTTATAAGAATAATTTGTAAGAAAAGAATATATTTTTCCCCAGAACGTTTTAGTATAATTGTCTTTGTTTAATATTCTTATAAGATCATAGCATTACCTTGTTTTCTGTTCTGTTAAATCCGACAAGAAACAGGATATAAGCAACAATTAGCCAACAGGATAAGTTTGTATGAACAATTGTCTGGACAGATTTAACAAACCTGAAACAGATATTATCTTAAATCTTGAACTTTTGAAAAGTGGTAATAAAAATATTGTACGATCATACGCTCGTAAAATGATCGGCATAGTTCGCGAGTTTTCGTGATTATTAAGGTCTTTCTATCTTAAATGTGTCTACGAATGTTTGAAAAGACTTGCCAACTCAGAAAATATAAAATACCAAAAGAAAAAGACTAACTGCTGAAAACTAGCAATCCTTTAAATGTGTCAACTACTAGCTTTACAAATAATTATAATAATCGGAGCGAGACTAATTTGATCATGCTTTATTTCTCTTTTATATAAAATTTTGTTTGTGGTAGTTTTTTGTGTTATTGTGTAATTTCAAACCTCCAGAAAAATGCGTGTATCGCTACACTCAAAACAAGAAAGATCATGGAAACGATGCATCCTATTTTAGATATGAGTGATAGAGCCTTGGTGTGATCCTCGTTAATCTGAAAGTATAAAGTATTTTTAACAAAATTTAAATGCATAATTGTTCTCAAGTTGTATTTTTTACTGTTTTATATTTGAAAAAAAAACCGATAAGCCGATTCTAATTGCAACTAAAATTAAAACTAGATGATATAATTCCTTTATTTCTTCTTTTTCTAGATAATATTGCCAAACAGGAGTGAACAAAATTAAAAAAGAACTTTCTTATTTCCATAGTTAACTGATTAACTTGAACTGATCAAATGTAAATGCTTGACATGTAACATTGTTTCTTTATTTGAAGAGCTTTAGGACACAATGACACTATATATATGGCATTTGACGATATTCTGGATAAACTAAAGGCATCAGACACGTGTGCGTATCATTTTGGGCAAACGCAGGTACCGTGGTAGTTCCAGTCTCACTTTGATAGCTCGTAATGGGAAATTATTGATCTAACACTGATTTTCTGTTTTCAGTTGCTGTCGGGGCAAAATTCTTACTAAAATATGTCTATATAAATTTTTGTTATATATCTGCCGGTGAGTCAAATGATTTTTGTTAAAAATTGATTTTCTTTTGGAACATATGATAGTATTGGTAAACAATCTGTTCACTAATGTTACGAAGTACAGTCTACCCATCAACATAATCAAAACATAGCCTTGTTAGATCAATGGTCTTTTTACAAGCTTGTTGGAGTTTTTAACATGAATAATAATGATGTAACATGCATACATTTAATGCAAACGTTTTACATACCGGTGACGATGATGGACTCATTAGCAATGCAAAATTAGTAAGATGGTCGCAAACGCAAACAACAAAATCTTTGTTCTTGCCATCTGTTTCCTGTCGACATCCCTTATCAGACCAGAAACCTTGTGACGTTTTGCTTTATAATACAAAAGAACAATAAAACTTTGTTAATGTGTTATCGTTACATCGAAATCTCAGAAAAAAGCTACGAAAACAAAACAATGAAACAACATTAACACTTTAAATAATTTTTAATAGTGAAAATAAGCCATGTGTAGCCTATAAGCTGGGAGTTATTTTAAATATTCTTTTCCCCCTCAATCCCGAACTTAACCCAGGGCAATTGTAAAGTCTTTGTTACACAAAAATTGAAATCTTACAAAAGTCACTTTCGAAACGTTTAGGAATCCAATATGGCTTCTATTATGGCCACCATTTTAATGCAAAACTTTTGGTTATCTTTACAGGTAGATTAAGCTGCTAAGAATTTGCCGTTTTGGGTAAAAAGTAGTTTAAACATTTCAAAGATAATTGTGTATTAATAGCAATGCAAATGTAGTTTTTTAGGATTTTCGAATTGACAAATTTCTTTCTTTTGCACATTTGTCTTTTCTCTTTTCTTGCATATTTTTCTTATACGGTTTCAACTTACTATACAAAAATATAACCCTTTCACTGCCATAGGGACGGCTTATGCCGTACCTGTAATTTTCGGCGTATTTGCCCTATGGGCAGCTTTAGCCGTTTCTTTAATTTTAATAATAATAATAATAATAAGTTATTAAAAAATATAAAAATAATAATAAATATAAAGACAATTATACCATCGACAATAATTATTATTATACTTGCAGATTTGGAAACATATATAATTTTTATAATACTTATAAAAAATTACTAATAATTATATAAATTATTAATATAGTGATTTCTTAGAAAATCCTCTGGCAAATAGGTGGTCAATAAAACAATAACCCTCTGGCACCGAAAGGGAAATACTGTGAGTTATTTTATAAACACTGGTCACGCCCGTGTGATTTATAACTGCTTATTATAATCATAATTCGAGCTTTAGGACATCATTAACCGAACACTATTTTAAAAGAGATGTTTTTTTGTTATACACATTTAAATGTAGGAAGTTTAATTTAAAATCCAAAGCAGCATGACAAAAAAAAACGGATATTCAATTGTCTAAGACAGTTAAGACGACATTATGTTCATTTTACCTCTGTCAAGATCATCTGAATAAGTTACAGTAGAACTTCTATGGGTCGAACTTCGATTAGTTGATTTTATTGATGTGTTGAAGTAAAATGAAAGTTCCGATTTTCCCCCTACATATTCCTTATAAAAACCTTTTTATGAGTCAAGTTTTCGTGTGTCGATTTTTTCGATGTGTCGAAGCTTTTTCTTAGTCCTTATAGAATAAATCTAGTGTTGTTGTTGTTATTTACCACAAATAAGTCAAAGTCCTTCGATTATTTTGACATCAATTCTTCTATCTCGAGACATTTTTCACACCTTTTCTGGTCGCGAAGAGGATTTCCGATCAACTTAAGTGACAGGTGTTAATTACACAACCGAGTGTTTAAACAGCTTTTGTATGCGTTTAAATGTGTGAAAAATGCTTTAATCGTTACTATTTTTATTTCCGTAGCGGTATTTGAAAGTACATGTAAACAGTAAGAACTATCATTTGAGTACTTCCGTGTCCCGGTGTCGCGTGATAATCACACGTGAAATATTTACTATCAGCTGGTTTAGTTATTGCCCTTTCGTATTGTTACGCCTTTTGTAACTTCATTGTCTACGTCAACAGTTAGTCCAAATCATTAGCCGTAAGAAGTTTTTTTAACATGTCATATTTATCATTGTATAATGTAAAATATCAGATTAATGAATGAAAGAAATGAAATAGGTTATGTTATAGATCTTATACTTAGGACTAGTCACGGGTTGAAATTTTGTAATTAAGTTCAGACCGATTCATGAGTCGATGTGAGTCATGTGTCGAAGTTTTTACGCATGTCCCACCAACTTCGACTTACCGAAGTTCTACTGTATTTATTTCAAGAGATTGGCTGATATAAAGGTGACTGACCAATAATCACTAATCAAAACAATTTTTAGGATGAAATATTAAAAACCTACCTAAATTATAAAAGGATTGCCCACTCTTTTTAAGATTGAACGTAACAATACATTCTGAATCACATTTATAGAACTATCCGTTGAGCACCTGGTTTATTGATATTTTTTATTAATAAAAGTGGACACAGTTATAGTAAAAAGTAAAGTTATGTGCACTCACTTTTAACACTTGGATTTGCAAAATGTCAATTAAATAAAATGTGATTCCTTAAAGTAGGAACATATGGAGTCCTAAACAGCAACAAAGATTGCTAAAATTTTAAATATCTGCTTAACATTAGTACGATGAGTTACCTCTCTGGTTCCTTCCAAAAAGAACATCTCGCATTATCCAATGTTTTCTGTAAAGTGAAGAAAACAATAATATTTTATGAACATTTTACAATATTTCAGAATATTTTTTATTATTTATTACTATTATCTGTGTTCTGCTTAAAAAATCATTAATAAAATTATTACAAAAGTTGAATTTCAAAAGCAGATTGTAAAGTGTTGAACTGTTTACTTCTTTTCTGTTCTTTAAATATCTGGAATCAAAGTGATCAATCGGAAAACCTGCTGGTTAGTTCAATTACCAAACAAAGACCAAATCCATCAATCTTATGAAGATGTTTAGCCTACATATGTATTTGGCTATGTGTCTGTAATGACGCATGGTTAGGTACCCTTTGCCTTCAGCTTCAGAGATGTTTATGATACCCTTTAAGTGACTTACAAATAAAATTCGATCATGTGAACAAAAATTGAAAAATCGTTACGATTAATAGCTAACGGACCAAGGTTCAGGAATTTTTTTTTATTAAATATGGGCTGTATAAAACGCATATAGAAATTGCTTCATTGAAAATTATTCGTACTATTTGGAATATGAAAAAGGTTACTTACATTATACAACTGAAATTTAATTTTAACCGGGCTTGCAAGCCGTCGCTCATGATTGGGATATAATGTAAATGATATGACTGGTGCATTCAGCTGTAGATCCTCGGACCTGTTAAGAAAGCAAGAAAGAGTAAAAGTAGTTTCTTAAATGAAAGTATAAATAAGAATTTAAACTTATTTGAAAATTTGGCAAAAGATTATCTCTAAATAGATTACTTATGAATACGATTCCAGAACAATGCTATAAAGTCATCGTCGAAACCCACGATACACATTCCCTTTATACTACATTCAATATGTATACGGTAAATAGCCTGGTTACCAAGGATGCTTTAAAGGAAACCTCTGGTCACTTTATTCTACCTTTTCTAAACTCTTCCACCGCCGAATCCAGGCCATGCAGTCTGACTAAATTCAAATTGTCTACACATCACAAAAAAATCGAAAATGAACTGTGCTAGAAATGGAAGAATGACGTATTAAAGTACGGCAATGTTCACGATGTTACTTCCCTTCTTAAGAAATAGAAGTAAAATACATGTACAATTTTATGGTTAAATCACTTTGGCAAATACGAAAACTTTATTCATAAAATGTTTAATTAATCTCCAAAGATAAATAATAATAATCAATAAATGTAAACCTACATAGTATTGTTAGTTGATGATGGAATAATCATTGATAGATTTCTGTACATAATTCCACTAAAAGACTCAACTGTGCCTGCAAAAATAAATCATCATTACACTATTGAAAGTCAAGCATAAATTTAAAACTGAATCATTATGTACTGATATGTTGCATATAAGATATTTAAGCAGTAGTTAAAGTTATAAAAAAGCCATTACTATAAATTAAAAGGGGGCTTAAGTAACGTTTACTCTTTTAGGATATTTCTGGCATGCGTTGTATGCAAAAGATGAGCCTTAGTTCATATGGCCCTGGCGCTCTCATTTCATCGGGATAAACTTACATTTGTTCAAAAGCTGCTATTGTATAAAACGGGAGAATTAGCGGATCATGATCCATATAAATAACCTTTATTTTAACAGATTACATTGATTTAAGATTTTTAAATGTAATTGTATGTTTGTCTGTGCGTGCGTGCGTGTGTGTGTGTGTTTTCTTTTTTTTTGTGTATGTGTTTTTGTTATCTTTGGTTTCTATATATTGATGTGTTTTTAAATTTCGATGATCTTGACAGTTCTTGTCCATACCTTGGCAATCAGCCTTCCGAATTTTAGTCAATAACAATTTCTTTGCAAGTGATTGACTATATATTCCACATGATAAGACTTTATACACCTTGGGTTATTTGACACCTGAATTTCCATGACATAGTAAAACATACATTTACATGACTTTACAAAGAATAAACACATTATCATTACGTTCAACCACAATCGCATTTTTTTCGCAAGCATTGTTTTATAATCAAGTGCTACGTACTATCACAGTCAATTTCAAGCCTATCCTTTCTTGATCTAGCCCAATCAGGGATATCTTCATTTTCACGCTTGGGGAAATTAAAAGCATTCTTAGAAAATTGCACTGATCCCATATTTAAATCTGAAAAATAATACGGAATTAGTTAATGCGTTTGTACCTTAAAAATCTTCCCAATAATAAGAAAACTCGAAGTGCATATTGATTATCTATGATTCTAAAATCCTTCTTAGGATCTAAAATTAAATAAGAAAAGATAAATCTCTCTGTAATATTAACTTTAGACATTTTAGAAAATGGAATTGAACACAGTCCAATTTTTAAGTCGACCCTTAACAATTATATTAAGTAAAACCTATTGTCCTCCAGTAGAAGTACATTATTCTTTTTTTCTAGTATCCACCATGCAGTAAAGCGAATATTCAAATATTGTTTCACTGATAGAATTTCCTGACATAAATTTTCTGTAACGTTGAAAATAGGTCATTTCTAATTTACATAAAAGGCGTACATAAATTTGGCTTTGATATGTGAACCGTAACATTTTTGGACGATGTCAAGATCTTCTCCACAAAACGATCTGTTGTCTTCAGAATACTGTCCGCCCCGGAACCTGTCTATATAAAACAAATCATGATCAGAACACTGTCCGCCCTGGGACCTGTCTATATAAAAACAAATTATCAGCAGAACAATGACGGTCCTTGAACTTCTGTAAATAAATCAAACCATAATAAGAATCATGTGCGCCCCAGACCTGCCGTAAAATTAATCAACTAACCATAATCATGACATTGCCTGCCCCAAAATCTTTCTAAATAAAACATGCCACATAAAAATGTGTGCCCTGGAACATGGATTTACATCATCCTTCATTGAAGACTTTTAGCAGTATTATCCTCAGCGAGTGATACATTAACTGCTATCACTAACCAATGTGTTATAAGTATATAAACGTTTCTAAACTGCATTTAAGACGACTCATAAGAAAATCAGATTAACTTCTATTATAACCAGTCAATTCGTTTCGAAAGAGAAGTACATGTCTACGTGATGTATGATAAAGCAAGGACTATCAGAGATTGATTAAAATGCATTCATTAACTAGAAGTTTAGAAGTTTATTTTTGCAATATCTACTTTTTATTTTTCAAACACTCCAACAGTGTAAAATATTAGGTGTTTATTTGAAAAGCGAATCCTTTGATAAAAAAATGCAAATTTTGTTGCATAGTTAAATTGCTTTTGGGTGAGCTCATCAACAAATTAAAATTACCATATTTATAATTGCCTTCCATGTCTGTGTTGTACTTTCGTCCAGAATATTGTTAACTGTTTGTATATATGACTGAAACACAGAAATAATGCATTATAATTTACAAAACTTTGCAAAAATATTTTCCTGATGCTATTATTTTGTTAGATATGAAAATGAGTACAGTTTTCAAGTTAAATTGTTTCTTATCTAAACATCAAATTCTCATCATCGTACTGTACTGTCGTTGTATGGGCAGGAGCTAAAACACTGCCTTACATATATATTTCTACCAAAGCGCTAAAGTTAAAGGTCCTATAGGGGATGTAGTATACTAAGATACTTGTCTCATCCGTACTGTACTGTATTTACGGCAGGCAACAGAGTCGTTGTATAGGCAGTAGTATTTCATGCAGTCAGTTTTTATATATGCCACTATGTAGGCATATAATGACATTTCCAAACAACAGAACTAAGGGGTACTAAGTTATATATATCAACTATATATTTAATTTTACCATAGGTGAAAACATATTGACCAATAACATAAAACCCCATTAAAAATATATACATTTGTGGGACATATATCATTTACTACTAAAACCGGCCTACGGGCACTATGTTAGAAGGGTAGCCTACGCCCCCATACATCGTTTTAAACATGCCAGAGTTGCGAGGCCTTATGTATGCCCCACATTAAATATAAACCCCACAAGTATGGTCTCAAATAGACCGATGCCCCGTAAATGGAGGAATGTGACTGTATATATATATATAACTTAGTACCCCTTAGTTCTGTTGTTTGGAAATGTCATTATATGCCTACATAGTGGCATATATAAAAACTGACTGCATGAAATAATGCCACTCAACTCGGTCTTATAAATAGGCCCCGTAAGTGAAGATATGTGTGAATATTATTTATATATATATATATATTTCTGTCAAAGCGCCTAAGTGAAAGGTCTTATAGGGGATCTAGTATACTGATCGTTACATGTTAAGATACTTGTCTTACCCATACTGTACTTTATTTAGAGTTGTTGTATAGGCAAGAGCTATAACACTGCATTTCATATATATTTCTGCCAAAGCGCTAAAGTTAAAGGTCCTATAGGGGATCTTGTATACTTTTATATCTAGTATATTCTTTATTCGGCGGGAGATACTGTGTTCTCAGGAACAAGACTTAGTAGCACACATCATTTGTATCTATATCGAGCAAATTTTGAAAAAAAAAATGTGTTTTTTTTAATTAAGCATAAATTTAATGTCTATATAAGATGTGATGAATGATATTAACTTGACTTCGCAGGCATATGGCAATATATTGAGAGACAAAATCGGGTCTTCTTACGCCAGAATAAAACTAGAAATGTTCGATATGATCTAAGCAATATCAGCTTGGTAAAAAATAATACATTACATAATCATTATGATTAATTTACACATTGTATGTCCGGTTTTAACCATTTGTTGAAATAGTATCCTGTTGCAGATCTTACGTGTTGGCCACAGTAGTTCGGGTCAAAGGAAAATGGATATACATGACATAAATCAGTAAAGTAATATAGTGGTTTCATTTTCGTGATTAAACCAACTTACATCTGTTATATTGTCAAGGCGTGTTGAATTGACCGGGAAAACATCTGTTATCAGTTCAAGTATTTCAATAGCAGTTGCTATATCTCCGATCAGAAGTGTGTTATTCTCGTTGGTATCTGATGTAGCATTTGATAGGTTGTCCAAAATCTCATTTATGTACACATGATCTTTATTTTTGTTCTCAATCAACTTTGATACAAAAAACAACAAATATTTTCAAAAGCACTCAAAATACTTGAAAGATTACTTTTACGATGAAGTGGATCAAAATTAATCATATGGTAAAGACATCATGGAACGGTAAGAGAAAAAGCACGAGTTCTCGCAACGTCATTTTGAGGTATTTCGTATCCAATTGCATCCAAAATGATGAGAAAATGTACCACTTGTCATTGCATTCTTCGATATTTGAAATTATTTTAGAATATGATAAACAAGATCAACAAGGAAAAGCGGCGTTCAATGAACGCAACCCCCACCCGACCAACAACAAGAGCAATTGTGTTTACCTGTTTCAGCTTTGTTTTGGGTTGAAGACTCTATAAAGGAAGTATTGAGGGCTCTTATTTAAACAGATCACCAAAACGTGCAAGAGTTAAACTTGGCGTTAAGTAGAGGTGCTCATGCAGAATATCCTTTTAGAAGAGTATTTATTTTCAGTGAGTTAACGTGGGGCGTGTGTTCAAACCTACTGGGGGCAAACATTTATTTAATTTTTTGTACAGTTTTTTGTTTTCGTCCAGTCAGATAATTGTTTTCAAATTTATTCTTTCTTTGAATTTTTGTGCAGATTTAGATATTCTTTTTAGTATGGATTTAGATAAAATATGGTAGATTTTCAATGAAAATATTTTTGGTAACATACTGTTACTCTAACTTCTATGGTGGCTGATTTGTGCCATTCGTGTTTTCGCCCAGCGAACCCGCCAAGCCAAAACTCGAGAATTAGCAAGTTAACATGGCGGGAGTGCGGAGCAAAAACACTCTAATTAGCGAGGGCGTGGGTCAAAGTTTAATAAATAAAACTTCGGCCGCAAGGGCGTAGAGCGAGATTTAAGAAATAAAACGGCGGAGGCGAGGAGTTAAAACATGCTTATGATTGCCCTCGCTGACTTTGCTCGCGCCTCGCCATTTAATTTCTTAAATCTAGACTTTTCGATTGTTAGGGTCGCGGAGCGAATACACGTTAATTAGCGGGGGAGTTGGGCAAAGTTTTATTTATTATACTTCGCTCCGCGCCCCCGCATATAAGCGTGTTTTCGCCCGGCGACCCTGAAAAGCAAAAAGGCGAGAACAAGTTAAATGGTGGGGCACGCAGCAAAAACACGCTAATAAGCAAGGGCGCGGGCTGGAATTAAATAAATAAAATGTCGCCCCGCGGGGGCACGAAGCAAGATTTAGGAAATAAAACGGCGGAGCACGGAGCAAAAACACGCTTATTAGCGATGGCGCGGTGCGAAGTTTAATAAATAAAACTTCGCCCAGCGCCACGCTAATTAACGTGAATTCGCTCCACGATCCTGACAATCGAAAAGTCGAGATTTAAGAAATCAAATGGCGGGGGCGCGAGCAAAATCAGCGAGGACACTAATGAGCTTATTTTTGCTCCGCGCCTCCGCCGTTTTCTTAAATCCCATTCCGCACCCTAATGGGGCGAAGTAAAATTAATTACAATTCAACCCGCGAACCGCCTCGCCATTTTAACTTGTTAATTCTCAACTTTTGGCTCGCCGGGGTCGCAGGGCGAAAACACGAATCGCACAAATTAGCAACCATTAACTTCTGTATTGTTTGAACTGTATCTAGATAACTATTATGATCAAATAATGTAAATTTATCAATGAATTTTGAATCATTGGCAGTAATACATCAAACAGTGCCTGTGTCACTTAAAGTAAACCAAGAATAAAAATATCCTCATTTCTTACCTTTCTGTAAATCTGTGCAATTGAAGATCTGGTGCAGTTGTAGACAGGGTCCTGATAGGCTCCACTTACGTTACAGTACTTTGATATATACCCTGTAAAAATAATTGAATACTTTACTATTGTAGGCTTATAATCAACTTGCTCATGATTGGTCTTAGGCAAAAAATGTACATGTATTTCTACACGTTCATGGTCAGTAAGTCTATACAACATAGATTTTTCTTAATAGTGTTAATGTTTCCTTTATCTTTGCTATGTCAAAATTAGATGTTTCGGGTTAAAATACCAACTTGTGACAATAAGTCTTCTCATTGATTACTTGATGTTTTATTTTATCCAAGGTTTCTACTTTTCCTCGTATACCTATATTGGAATCTTAATCAGAAATGACCTACTTTGCAAACATATTTTAAAACATCCTTGTAAATGTGTATGAAACATTATGTTCTTTATTAATTTCTAAAAATAGCTCGTTCTGAAAACAACTCCTGAAAAAATTTGGACCATAAGACGGCACATAAGATGAAATATAATATTTACTTCTGATGATGTTTAATTTCACGGAGGAACAGTTTTTTAAACAGATAACGTGTGTCATTACTTTTAAAACGAAGACTTTTTGGTATAATTACCTAAAGTTTGTTAAAATATTTGTCACTATCATTGAACTTAGTCATTTTCCAGCGTGATTTTCAGTTTGACAGAAAATATTTATTTGATAAATGTATAGCAAAGATTCTTATGCTTAGTGTAAAGTTTTGTTTTTACTGGAGATTTTGAAAAGCGCCCAGACCAAACGAAGACGATGGTGACGTTTATGAAGTATACCTGTACATTACAGAGCCATTTTTCGCTTGTTGAAAAGGTTGTTTTTATGTCAAGATCGAATGAAAGATATGTGTGGTTTAGTGTGATAGTTGTTGCAAAACGCTTAAGCGTACAAATGTTAAGACATAAAATTTCGACAGTTGTTCGTATACATGCACTGCTTTAAAAAGTGACGAATATGTAAAGTTAATGTAATTATTACTTTAAAATCTACACTGCTTTTGCCCTTGCTTTTGTCATGTTATGATTGCTTTTCTTTTACGTGTTTGCTGTTACAGTACTTGGACAATTTGCTTTGATACAGGATTGCTGTTCATATGTCCTATCCTGACAATCCCTTTCGTAACCTTTTGAGCATTTTCTATATAGAACTTGAAAGCATTTCTGATCTTTCTTCGTGCAGCATATCAAGTGACATCATAATAACCTCGCAGATCACTCTAAGTCTAGCGTTTTTTTTGTCTGACGCTTAAATTTTATTTACCGCAAAGTAATTACGTACATAAATGACAAAAAAAACTTACCAGGTGTTGATTCATAGGTTGTAGGCGATTTCGTATGTGGTGACGTAACAACTGATGGAAAAGGTGTTGATTCATAGGTTGTAGGCGATTTCGTGTGTGGTGACGTAAGAACTGATGGAAGAGGTGTTGATTCATTGGTTGTAGGCGATTTCGTATGTGGTGATGTAAGAACTGATGGAAGAAGTGTTGATTCATAGGTTGTAGGCGATTTCGTATGTGGTGACGTAAGAACTGATGGAAGAGGTGTTGATTCATAGGTTGTAGGCGATTTCGTATGTGGTGACGTAAGATCTGATGGAAGATGTGTTGATTCATGGGTTGTAGGCGATTTCGTATGTGGTGACGTAAGAACTGATGGAAGAGGTGTTGATTCATAGGTTGTAGGCGATTTCGTATATGGTGACGTAACAACTGATTGAAGAGGTGTTGATTCATAGGTTGTAGGCGATTTCGTATGTTGTGACGTAAGAACTGATGGAAGAGGTGTTGATACATAGGTTGTAGGCGATTTCGTATGTGGTGACGTAAGTGCTGATGGAAGAGGTGTTGATGGCTTCACTGATGATGAAAAATAGTACCATGTATATCTTCAAAGTGAAATTAGGCATACAGTTTTCTTTCAGACACAATATACCCCAGTGTTTGATAGACTACGCACGAAAAAAATATTTTTAAAGAAAACCAAATCTTCATGGCAATATGCTTACTCAATTATATTTTAATGATATACTGAGGTGTATCATCATAAAGCAATATTAGCACATATGTGAGACCTATTTAATCATTGGCATCCTCATCGTAATTCCGTAGGATTGTTTAACATGATTGTTAGAAGCATTTTACCAAATCTTTAAAAAGAACTTCTGATAAATGTGGTATGGGTCGGATATAAGTTGAGAATAAAGAGTTTTCATTTCACCTTTAAATTTGAAATTGACCTTGATCTTGTGTTTAAAATCAGCTATATATTAGTTTGATTATCGCTTTCAGAACATAAATCCTTATAATGTTTTAAAGAAAGGGAATTTATAATGAGCAGTTAAGTTACCAAAAATATTTAAATTTAATTGAAAATCATTAATTTCATTAATATCAGTAATCGTTTATGCCCTCACACACATTTTAATTTTATAAAATTCGACTGCCAATCTACCCAGAACCTTGCGTTTTATCATTTTCATTTCATACTAAATCCATTTTCGTTTAATGTTCCTTTGCAGCTGTCTTTTTCATCTTCAGTACGACTTTTATTTGACTATAAGTTCATATTAAGAAACAAATATATCTGAAGCTTTACACTGTTTTATTTTATACAATTATTAAATTTTTCCAAACAGTTATTGTTCAATCGCCATTGTACTGCTCAATCTTTTGAATACAAAACATAATGATCTCACTTTTGAAAATAAGCATAATGTGACTTTAACATTAAATGCATTTTTATAAAGGCTGCTGCTAGCCAACACATTTAAACATATCCATGTATTTTTGAATTTTTTACCCATCATACCTAGCATTGCGGTGCATGACATTTTGTCGAATATGACAGTTGGTCGAATTTGACAGTTCGTTGACACTATGACTACGACAACTGATCGAATGTAATTTGTAACACTACGGCGACTGATCGAAAATAAATTTTAATCCTGCAACACTTGAAATCAACCAACCATGAAAGGCGCACTTGATTAGATAGTTATATTGGTAAGAAAATATGAATAATGATCAGCTTTCTCAAAACTACCGTTAACTTTGATACATATGGGAAAAATAACAAAATAAAATATTAAGTGAACAGTTAAACAAAAAAAATATGTAACTCCATAAAAGATATTCCATGGATTTCCTTCAAGGAATTGCGTATACTCGTACATGTAATATAAGATATTGACTGTTATAGTCACAAATGCTGGGTTTTTACCATACCGCTCCTACCTTAAGTTGACAGCGGCACCATAAAAGCATGAAATAACGAAATGTAACATGAAATATTTTATAAGTTAAGTAATACCTTCATTGGTCATATTCAGTGAGTGAGTTTTGGCCCGAAGATTTGGTATATCTTTACGATTTTTAGCGTAAAAGATTTGAATATGTCCTACTTTAATAGATACATATTCAAGTGGCCAGCCAGTGAACCAAAATCTACCGTGAAGTTTGAACTGAATCTTTTCTATCTGAAAATGTAAACAAAAATCAAAAATTTATAAATGTTGCATTAAAACTCCATACCATATTACCATTGAATTTTTTATTGTACGACATATATGTTTAAAGAAAGAATCTTCACAAGGATCAGTACAACAAGTGCTCTTACCATTTCCACTCTAAATATCTTGAAGGGAGTCCTCCATCTTTCAATTTGGACGAAAGCATATATCATTTTTAGGGGAAATTTAAAAAAACTGACTGAATTGCGGACATGTCCAAACGGCAGTGACGTGTCACCTGATCTTGGCTTACATTGGTCGTATGTGTATAAGATATTGTCGCCAGCAGGCTAAGGGTTACAATAAATATTCAACGTATAATTAATTTTGAAATGTTTTATAATAAGTATATGCAATTATATACAACAGAGAAAATGAATACCACTCGGTTTACTATTTAAAGTATGCGTCTGTCTGAATGTATGCTTGCGTTGAGTTGTGCGTGTACGCACGCGTGTGTGTGCGTGTGCACGTGCGCGCGCGCGTGTGTGTGTGTGTGTGTTGTGTGGGTAAGTGGATGTGCTTGCATGCGTGCATGCACGTGGGCATACGTACGTGTATTTATTTTTGTGCATGCATGCATGTTAGGAACGTTGTGCACCTGATGCAAAAGGATGATTAAAAATCAGCTTTTGACAGATACTACTACAATCTTCTTTGCATAGTAAGGGAACAGAAAGTAAGGTCAATAGCCCCTCGCACCTACGGCGCTCTCCAATGCAACTCTTTCACCCAAAACGTTACAACAGGTATGTTTTTCACCCATACGTTACAAGTTACATGTTTGTTGTGCATGTTTGTTACGTTTATACGAAATGATAGAAACTTTAGCATACTCAAGTAAATAAAATGAAAAATAAAAGACTAAATTACATTTCAACTTATCTGTAAATAAATTTTTAATGCTGTTGAACACTTCATGTAATTAAGCATATTATAATCTTTGCCAGAAAAAAAAAACACATAGGCAATGTTCTGACATCTAAACTTTTTGCAATTAAAAAAAATGTTTTGGTTTGGTAAAATACAACTGAACAATTATCAAAACCATTCTTCTTCATAAGTTTTTTTTAACAAACATACATACCGGTCGAATATCTCGGGCAGAAACGTTGAATGTATCTACACCACCATTCTTAAATGATCCATCAAGGTCGTCTATTCTTAGTGTTTCTCCATTCGCTCCAAACAAAATTATGTCAACGGTAGGAAGTACATTATAGAAAGCCTTAGACCCAGTTTTAGTACTAATGATGTAATTTATATCTAGTTAAACAAAATGGTTTTCATAATTATCTTGAAGCCAAACTATTTTAAGTTATTTACTACAAATAAACAATATTATGTAATATTTCTAAAAGTATAATAATTTTGTAAAACTAAGTTATCGGTAAATACAGCAGCACATACTTATGTTTATTTAATAAGAATCTAGAAATGGATAATTGTAAACTTTAATGCTTTGTTTTGTTTTGTTTTACATCGCACTAACAATATTTAGGCCAAATGACGCCTGTAGAGCAAAGGTGACAAGGTGATAAACAGAATATAAAGCTGCATGCATCCAACAACAACATTTCAAGAAAGTCAAACTTGAGAATAATTTGTGCCATTGCGCCACGAAATCCCCGTTGCGTAATTTAGTCAGACCAGTTCAAAAATTACATGAACAGCAAAAATTAGGTACACGGTTCACTAGGTCATATAATAGTGCATGGTGATATTGTTGTTATAATATGCGCTGCTACGTTCTATTTTCCGGAAGATGAAATAGTAAAAAGCCACTCAGAAAACAATATACGATTTATACAGTTTAAGGGATTAAAACGGAATGACCCAATGATCGTAGTGTTAAGTAACTAAATAACGTAAATGACATTTTTCTGATATTTCTTTGTACCGATTTGTTCACTTCGATATTAATCTTTAGTTAAGTCGTATTTTGAAGCGGAGCATGCGCAAACCAATTTGTGTAGACTGATTCTAGTGATTTAAGGCTTAAAATGCGATGCATTAGCTTCAATTTGTTACGCATAAATGGATGCCGCCAGCAACACTGTGGAGGTATGATGACCTCTCCAATAATGGTAAGTAAATATTGATAAAGATCAACTTGGTCAAAACTACTGTTAACTATGAAATACATGTATAAGGGAACAATCAAAAAGTTTGATTGAACTGTTTCGCAGTGGAATATCTTACTTCATTATTTATACAAAATATTTGGCCACATTTTAGTTTGAAGTTAGCTATAATGGATAATAAACAAGATTTTTTAATGAGTTCACATGGTAGCCGAAAATTTAGTTTTGATGGTTATAAACGTTTTAAACATTTTAAATATCGCATAAAATATATGCGCTAATTCATACTTTATCTATGTTGTAAGTGGGGATAGTGAACAGCATAGTTTTTTTAAATCATAAAATAAATGATATAAAGTTATAGAAAAATCATTAGTTATTTATCAAAACGCAATGCCATATCAATGATATATGTATAATCAGCTATGAAATTTTCTGACAAGTTAAAAACATATGCCCTAGTATAAACAGTTGTAAAGATATATAACTCAGATTATATAATCATATAAATATCAAAATAAGTTAAAACGAATCTATGAACCTGCCTGAAAAATCGCAATATTTGATTTTTAAAATGATTGTTATTACACTTTGTCGCAGCAGTTTGTATAAGTAATTAAAAGTGACCATGACGGTCATCCATTTAGCATTAACGTTACAAACCTGTGATTTGATGTGATTTCAAGTGATCTTTGATTTTTAAAATGAATATTATTACATTTTGTCGCAGCAGTGTATATAAATAATTAAAACCTCACCGTGACGGTTATCCATTGAGCATTAATGTTATAAACCTGTGATTTGATAGGACTTAAAGTGATACGAAAAGACGCCAAATGGATGTACATTTTGAATTGAATAACGTTTCAAACGCCTGCTATTTCGTAAAATATTTCGCTTATTTAAACTTTATCTATGTTTAAAGTGGGGATAGTGAATAGGATAATTTTTTTGAATATATAGTACATGATATCAAAATATAATAAAAAAAATCATAAGTCACTTTAAGTCTAGCGTCTTTGAAATTTTATTTAGTGCAGAATAATTAAATAAATGACAAAACAATCTTACGATTATCATTTGCTGAAGACGAAGTTGTTGTTGTTGTCAGAATATATATGATTCCTAACCAAACTGTATTCACAAAAGGCGTTGACATTATCTTAAACATTGTATGCAGGCATGTAAAAACAGAATTTATCACATTAGTAAATGTAGTATAATTAAATTTGACGATGGCGAGCTTTCCCCGAATGCCTTTATAGCACTGCTGTTAAACTGTATATCATTATATCAAGGATAACCAAATTTATTTGTTTCATATAACCCTATACAACTGCACAGATTTATATTTATGCACGTTTGAAACGTCTCTTATCATTGGATCATCGTGACGTTTAAATAAACTGTTAACACGGCTGCTATCAATTTATGAAGTAGCATTTTTTTCTCTTATAAAGGAGTTAACTTTACTGTATTATAAACTATTCAAAATGATAAGATTCTTGAAAAGTCGTTATAATTAATATTGTAAATCTTTCGGTAAATATATGTGTAAATTATTTATAGTTGATATAAAGATTTGTGTAAAAAAGAGATAGTTTTACGAATACTTATTCCGAGACGCTGATCAACAGTTGTTTAGCAATAAACTGTATATACAAAGCAATTTAAGATATCAATTTATTTAAGACTTTATGTTTGTACAATATACACTGAAATACCTATTTTAGAGATAACGGCCGATTCTTTAGCCTACAAACAATAACACATCAATAAATGGGACCTCGACAAAAGATCTTTATTCACTGATTCCACCGCCATCGTGTTAATTGCGACGAACTATTATTTTATTTATAATTAAATAATGTTGGAAAACAATTAAAGAAAATATGAATTGTTTTTATTTGTTGACTAAATAAGCTGGAGAATCCAGGTACAGATCCTACAACTCTACACTAATTCTTTGTTATCCAAACGGCTTCATATAACGGTTTAAACAAGGGTGAATAACAACAAGAGTATTTGTTGCTGGTGCTTCCATTAATGTTAATGCAAGAAATTCAACTAAAATTATTCTGAATCGTGGACGTACACTGCATGTCAAGAGTTACGTTCTTGTTTCTTTCTTTAATATGTTGTTGTTGCTCTTGCTTTGTTGTTGTTTTCTTTTTTCGCTCAGAGATTCTATATTTAAGTACTATATCCATAATATAAATCTTTTAATGTTAATTACTACTTACTCTTTTCATTACAAGAGAAACAGATATTGTAGTAATGTTAAAATGTTCCTGCACTTAAGTGTATTTTTCGCATTGTTTAAAATATTTTCGAACCAATCATTTAAAATATAAATGACATTAAAGTAAAAATAGATCCTGTATTGTATGAGGAATGAATCTTCTTTGCGCAGAGAAAAAATGACTGCGAAACAAATACACAAATTATTCATTATATTATATAAAGATAATTACAGGGACTGAAAACAATTGTTTCAATTTCAATACATATACTTATTTTGCCTAATTTACAATTTCCTGTGTTAATTGGTAGGAGGCGGATAACCTTCTTGGACCCTACTTAACTACCTGGAATACTTTGAGGAGGAAATTAGTTCATGATTTCAAATGATGCACGTGTTAGATGATAACTAAGATTATCTATTTAAGGTTTAGGATGACGAAATATGCGGAAATATCTACTTTTACGTTGGATTATCAGATTGCATCAGCGTTAACATTAATGTAGTAGTAAAACGCATTAAACTCAATTCATTGTTTCTTTAGCGAGGATTCAACAGTCCTTCTCCATACCATATGACGTTAGACCTATCCCTTTAAAGTCTATAATACGTCTATTCATATGTCAAAATTACGGTGGCACAAAGGTGACATGTGTGTGTTTTTATTTATCTCGTGGCCACGAGATACTATATCGTGGCCACGAGTTATTAAATCGTGGCCACGAGATACTATGTCGTGGCCACGAGATACTATGTCGTGGCCACGAGTTACTAAATCGTTGCCACGAGATACTATTTCGTAGCCACGAGTTACTAAATCGTTGCCACGAGATAGCTAAGTCGTGGCCACGATATACTTTGTCGTGGCCTCGAGTTACTAAGGCGTGGAAACGAGATACCTATGTCGTGGCCACGAGATAAATACACTATATATATTATGAATTTTTTAAAACTTAACAACTTACTTTTACATGCAACATTATTCTTTGAAAATACTGAAGATATTCAATTTGAACTTGTCTTTAGGATCATATAAGAAAGTCACCTTCCAATGCCCATCAGACATTAATTTTGACTAATGACCTTTGTTGGGACAATTTTGTGATCGAATTGGTCAGTTTGTACGTACTACAGCCTGCTAACCTTGTTTATACGGTAACATGAGAAGGAATAAGTCCTGATTTATTTTATTTGGAAGGGACATTGCCCATGGACAGTAGATAGCCGATAAGATAAAATCTTTGTCTGATGAATAATTTAGAAGGGATAAGCCATGGTTTATATAACCCAGAAAGATCATTGCACCTGATCAGTAGATGACATCTTATAATTTCGAGGTCATTGGGTCAACATTAAGGGTCACAGTGATTCTAAATGTAGAATTATTGATAAGTTGTCAATAAGTTGTTTGAATGGCACTCTCACATGCTGGTGAAGTAGGGGAATCGTTGTACAATAGCACATGTCTAGTTAATTAGGAAAATTCATATAAATAGTGTAATCTGATTGATTATTTATCTCGTTGCCACGACTTAGTAACTCGTGGCCACTCGTGACTTTAAAACATTTGTTAAAGCTTCAGGCTATTTGTGTTTGTATTTATGTGAGCATTTTGCTTTTATTTTTACGCTGCTATTGTGGACATTGTTTTTAAATTCATAATAATATGAGTATTTAGTATTTATCAATTTATATTTAAAGTTTGAGCACAATCTCACCAGAAGAGCGCCATGATGACCCTAGCTGCATTGCAAGAAAACATCGCAATTATTATTTTCAATGTTACAGTTAATTATGAGGTCACTCTGGGTTTGTAATCTTTTACCCAAGTTGAATATTTGTGTAATAATTGTAGATGTCTGCTTCTAAATGCTGCATTGGAAATATCTAAGCATCATGGTAAGTTACAAGAAGATTTAATTACATGTGTTTAATTATAAACGCGTATTTCTTTAAAAAGGTGACCTAGGGGACAAGAACAAACTGTGACTACAGAGGCAAGATATATATTTTTTTTGTAGAAAACCAAAAGGTGATGTTACATGAAGAATATCTAAACGTTTGGCATTGTGAATTCAGGGAAAAGGAATTTATAGACATTCTACTATTTTGTGACCCCACGGCGTTACTGTATTATACTTCAGTGGCATGACTTACATAGCTATTGAAAGGATCCACTAGCAATTGGTTTATGACAAATATCTAACCTCTTGGCATGGTAATTTCACAAACGTTTACTAACATGTATTTCCTATACAAGTCTATATAAACTAAATTACCATCAGAGCGATTCTTATTTTTAACCCAGGGACGTGGTTTTTATTAGTTTTATAAAGGACTAAAAGGTGATCCACATGCCAATCATCTAAGTTTTAAGCGCTGTACATCCCGGGAAGATTTTTTAGAAATATTCACTAAGTAATTAAGTGCCATCAAGGGATGGGTAACTTTTGTGTGTAGATATACACAAGGTAATGCTACATGTCAAATGTCTAAGCTCTCGGCATTGAAGTTTCACAAAAGAAGTTTCGATGTATTTTCCTGTACAAGTCTATATAAACTCAGTTAATCCCGATGCTGGGCTAATTTGAACCCCCAGGGGCATTATTTACATAACTTTGCAGATGATCACAAAGGTTTGCTACTTTCAGTATTTTAACCTTAGCTTTGTAGTTTCTGAGAAAAGTGTAGAACGGGGCCATTCTTTACCCCCGAGAAGAAGATTTTAAAATATTTCATAGTTTAAGTCAATTTTTAGGTTCTGCGACAAACTAATGTCTCAACTTGCAACCATTTTATAACTTTTGTAGAGGACCACCTAGGGATTATTTATTTGAAGTATAGCTAAATTTCCCGTGAGGTTCCTTGGGAGATTTGTTTTAACAAATTCTGGTTGACGATGACGACGGTCAAATTGTCATCGTCACAGCGGAAGAGATGACCTTAATGTTTTTCATTTTTAATTGTTTTTATTTTAGATATTGAGAGTTCGTTACACAACTATACATTTTGGGTCCTTTTTTACGAAGAACTATATTAGAAATAATGCATCCCAAATAGTGATTATATCGCTCTATAACATCACTGTTTGAAGTTCGGATGCAAGGAATAATATCAAGGGACATAGGCAAACGACAAACAGTAAATTAATGTTATCCAGCGATAAAATCAACGATTTATCAACAAATAAATGCTGGCGTACCTGATATTAATCAAAATTGGGCCTGATTTGCTTCCGCACTTATTTTCAGCGCGTCGCATTGTTAGTGGTTACGTCACATGTATAATGATAACGTTACATGTCTAAATAAAGAACGTCATCAATGATGCTATTGCATAATAATACACACTTTCGGTTCTTCCATATTCAATAGGGGAAAATGCCGTGCGTGTTAGAATAAACTTCTTTTTATGGCGTTCAATAGGGGAGTCCGTGGCCGATCGGTTAGGGTCGTTGACTTCAAACCACTTGCCCCTCACCGCCGACAGGGACTTTGGATTCTTTCATGTGAGGAAGCTATAAAGCTAGCTTACTAAACCACGGTGGTTCTACTCAGGTGCCCGTTCGTGCCTGAAATAATAAACGGAAGGGCACCTACACCAGTAAAGCTGGAACGTCGCAATATGACCTATACTGTGTCGGTTTGAGATAAAACCCAATCAAACAAACATACAATGGCGTTTAAGAGTCGAAGAGCAGGCCCGGCCTGCTCGCAAAACGAGCTAAACGTAACGCGAGATGGTGATTGTTTTGAAAACTTTCGCCGGAAGTACTCCAAAATTATGAGAAACTGGCCAATCGCATCTTTTCGAATACTAGATAACCATAAAAGCCGAGGTATAAACGGATGCATAGGCTGGTGTCCTGCGTACTTCTACGGGAACCATAAAAGGACAAAGAACCAGAATGTACGGATTCAGTACATAAAATATCGAATGAAAATTTTAAAATGGAAAATGTAAAAT